GGTTCTCCTTGCTCTCCTGTGCTACTCAGCAGGCTTTGGAAGAGACCTAGGTGATGGTGGTGATGATGATGATGATGTTGGAAAAGAGACACACTTATCTGTTGGTCATAGAAAATGTTTCTAAGCTGAAGAAAATTTTCTCACTACTGGTGCTGTGAGTCAACAAGTCATTTAAAGGGCTGTTTTCTCATTCTGGGAAGACTAGTCACTGAGAGTACGCCAGCTCTAGATTTCAGACTTCTGGCAGATAGTACGATTTCAACCCTGCCTCTGCCAAATTCTTCCTCTGCAAGAGAGAGGGGATTGGCAGAGGGCAGTCACATATGGATCAGAAGACGTAGAGTTCCGATACGAGCTCTCCTGAGCTATGGGAAAATCCTTACACCAATCACTAGAACACGGCGCAGATCAGCAGCTAAGACCAGAATAGTGCTTTCAAACTCACAGGTCAATCTTCAACTCAGATGTCCTTGCTGACAGCATCAGAGTGAGACACAGCTGACCGCAGAGGCTTCAAGCTCCTGTCCTCCTGAAGTGTAGGCACCAGCTTACTGACATTTAAACCAGGGCCACGGCTCTGATAAAACCAGGGGACAAAAACATTTGGGCAGCAGGGACTACTGCCACTGGCAGCACTGCCCAGCATCCTGGACGAGTGGTCCTTCTCCCAGCAGTGAGGACAGGGTGGTGGTGGCACGCTGCTGAGACACGCTGGCTGTAGCCAGCAGAGGGCATGGAGATTACACCCGCCAGCCAGCCAGCCACACTTCGTGGGGAGCGACAGCCGCCTTGGAGCCTAATTGCCATTCAAAGTTTACATTTAATAATTAATTAATTGATCAAGTTGACATTCCCCCTCCTCCATCCATAACTGCTGATGAAAGGATGCAAGGAATGTGCGGGTCTAGGAGAGGTGACAGTGCCAGTGACTTCAGGATGTGGTCCCATACATGCAGTATTTCTCAGGGTGTCGCTTTTGGGGACCCACAGCATCACAACAAGGCAGCTCCCAACAAATGCAACGCACTGTCATGGGGTCCCAGGGTGCTGCTGCTATATGTGCAGTGCAGTTTTCCACCATGCTTTCTACAGCTGCTGCTAACATTTAACATATTTCTCAGTCTTATTTTATAAAACAGCAGTGAGAGGACATAGTGATGAGTGAGGGGGGTTCTTGATTTAAGAACTGTCTGCTGGTATTGTAAGAATCCAGCAGGCTTCCAGTCAAGGCACTGTTCCTGGTGGAATTTACATGTACACTTGACTTTACGCGTTATTGGTAATCCTATTGAAATCCATATGCATAAAGTCAAGTGCATCTAATCAACTCTGTAGGTTGAGGATTGTATATGTTAATTTAATTCAGACTTCAGTATTTAGAACAATGAGAAGGTACAGCTATAGCTATACCTTGTGATAGCCTATAACAACCTCAAATGTTGCTTTAATATTATGAGGGAAAAGAAATATGAAAGAAATGAAGGTTTCCCCATTACTCTTAGAGATGAGCAATGCACACAAAGTTAAATCAGATGTTCAAAGTTATTTTAGGGTCCAAATTATCAGTGTAGAGTATATTTCAGTGGAAATTTTTCCTATGGGCCTCTGTGCATATCGCAGCTCCATAGTGGTGCAGGAGTCCATGTTTATGGATCCATTTCCAGGATCAAAACCCTCATTAGTAATACAGATTAATGGTAATTACCAGTATAAATAACTTGAGTGTATCTTCTCATTTTCCTCTGAAGACATTGCTCACAGAAGCTAGCTAAATGCCAGACTTGTTCCCTGAACCCAAACTGTATTAAGTTCTTGTGTGACGGTGTCATAACATAAAGTTAAATAAAGCTGCATGAATTCTTTTTCAAGCCTCAAAACATGGAGCTTGATTCTCAGCTCACATAAATTGAACACCGAATTCAGATCCCTTTTTCCATACTAAGGAACTGAAAAAAAAAAAAAAAAAGATAAAAAAATCACTTTTTGGCTAAGAACAAAAAAAAGAAGTTTGAATCTGAGGAATCGTTTTTCATGATGTTGTAAGTACTGAAAATACAGCTTTATAGTAAGAGCACTTGTTTAACCAGGATTCTGGTTAAAGCTGTAGCACAAGCTGGGCTGTGGTTGAATGTTTTCCCCAAGATCCCTGGGAAACAATGGTTGGGGCTTAATGTGGCTTCCTGAAGTGTGTCAGAACACTGATGTTATTTAAAATAGGGTTCATCTCTACTATCCTATGGATCGTTTATACTACCCTAGGAATATTATTATTGGAAGTCCTCAGCTGGTTGGTACTGTTGGCACAGAGCATGCTGCAGGCCCTGGAAACGTGTGTGATGCCCATTAATTTGGTGTCCCCACACAACTCATCATGACTTGTGCGTTAGGGCACATCTGTTTATGCAGCCTTTGGGGCAGCTGTTTCCAAAGATGTGTTAGAAATGACCAATCCCCTCAAAACCTTCCCTTTGGTTAATCAAGGGGTTAACTGGAGGATGTTACTCATGAGCTGAATATATGCCCAGTAAAGTTTACTCACGGTTGTGAGAGGCTTTTACCTGAAATATTGAAATGCCAGCTTTTACACAAAGCAGAAAAGGACCTCAGGCTCCTCAGCCCACATTTACCATCACGACACAGCTGACCCGTGGCAGAAGGCAGTGCTTGCTGCCTGCCCTGCCACCCCTCTCGCTCCCACACGTGATGTGCGGGGAAGCTGTGATGGAGCAGAAGCCTTGAAGGGCAAGAAGCATGCTCTCATGGTTTACTGTCATCAGTCTCTGCAGGGCTGAGCTGCAGGTCAGGGCAGGGAACAGAGCTGCTGGTAGCTATGTAAAGAAAGTACAGGAAGCTCCTTCACCCGGGTGCTTTCCTGAGCTGAGGAGTTTGAAATGCCACGTTGTTTTATTTTGAAATTTAAGTGTGAAAATAAAGAAAGCAGCCTATTTTGGGGGTTTCGGGCTACATTTACTACCATTTCCAAAGATTTGACTATTGACGAGACATGCAGGCACCCTGACTGCCTAACACCCATCGCTGAAGTGTTGTAGAATGTATGAGCTTTAACCCACCAGAGAAGCAAACCACTGCGGTCTTCACAGTGCACCCAGATAAGGCCTGCGGCCGTGTTTGTTACTGTGCCTGTGGGCACTTTTATAGGGGTTGGCATATTCAGTGATCCCATGGATTAACAGGCAAAACCAGCCCATATTCTTTAGTGATGAGTCACTGCTTACACAAAAATTGTTGGATGACATAAGCACATAATCCCTCTTACTCTCACACACACATATAGGATGTAGCCTAAGTGGTTGATGATGCTGATGGAAAGGACTTCTGTCAGTGTGTGTTGTACTGCATGGTCCTATTTTGCGAATACCAGTGCAGAGTTAGATAAAAGCCAAGAAATGCTGCCCATCCTCTGTTTTAAAGAACAACCTGAAATTATTTAGCAGTTGAAGAAGCAAAACAAACCAAAACACTTCCCTCCTGGGTGGAATAAATCAGTCTCTTGGATCAATCCCTGGTGTATTTTACAAGAAACAATGAGACAAGTGTTTCATCTGAGCCCTCATCTAAAACTGGCTCTTCCATTCCCTACAATGGGCAGTTTCTGCTCAGGACAGTCCCACGGCTGACAGGGCAGTTGGCTGTGGCCGAGGTGGTGTGTGTGTGCGGGTGGGTTTGCGCAGGGCTGTGACATGAATCCAGGAAACATTAAAATAGCAATGTGCGTGCTGTGCGTGCTGCAGCTGGGGAAACACTGAGAGGGTGAATTCCCTAATTTGCTCTACGGCTTTGCTGCCATGGTCCAAGGTGAATTTGGGGACGGTCTTAGGTCTGCCCATCCCTGGGTACCCTGGTACAAGTGCCAGCAGACGCAGCGGGGTGCCTGGGAAAGGCTGCATGAACATCCCGCAGGTACCGGCTGGCCCGAGACTGGAGGGGTGCAGGGGTGCCCCGGGGGGGGTTCTGCCATCCGAGGGACCCTGCTTCAATTCAGGAGGGAGCTGCGCAGTGGAAAATGTGACCAGTGGCAGGAACTAAGGGCGGTACGGTGGGGCTGGGGGGGAAGCGGCGTCCCTGGGAGGGCAGCAGCCCCCCGACGCCCCATTTGGACAACTCCAGGGCTGTGCCTGGTGGCCGGCCGTAGGGTGTGCGCCCGGTCCGCGGTCCTGGACTGCATTTCCCATACTGCCCGAGTGCCCTAATGTATGCACTGCTCAGCCTGGCTCCGTGTGCGAGTGTGTGTGTGCGTGTGTATGTGTGTGCGTGTGTGTGTGTGTGCAGACAGGAGTCCCTCGGAGAGTGGAGGCTCATTCACTGATGAGAGCCGGCACTGAGAGGCAGCACTGCTCCTTCCCTCGCACCCCCGGCGTCTCCCGCTCTGCTACATGCGAACCGCGGGCGCGCAGCGGGGCCAGCACGCCCGGGACTCCCCAGCTCCCCGCACGCCGCCAGCTCCGCGCAGCGCCCGCCGGCAGCCGCACCGTGAGTACCGGCCACCGGGGCCGCCCGGACACACGCAAACTTTGCAGGGCAAGTTTCTCCCCCCTCCTTTCCCTTCCCTCCCTCCTACCTCCACCACAGCCCCCAGCGCCCTTTCCCGCTGCCCAGCCCCGGGGAAGCCGGGCAGCGAGACAGCGGCGGCGGGGAGCCGCGCCGGCCGCGGGGAGGGCCGGGTGGGTGCGGATCGGCATGGTGATGCCGAGGGGAAAGGCACATAAAGGGCCCCCCCCGGACCCTCGGCGAGCCCCGAGCTGCCCCGATCCCTCCCCCCAGCCTCACGGTGGCTTTCCGGGGGGACCGGTCGCCACCAGGGATCAGGTGCCGGGGGGCCCGGCCGGACCCAGGGCCCGGCGCACAGCCCTCGCTCCGAAACAGACACTATTTCTTTAACTCCTTTTCCATACACCCCCCCCCCCCCCCCCCCCCTCCCCCCGAGCTTATTTTCCCGGCGGGGCAAGCCGGGGAGTTATTTCCTCGCTTCCCCCCGCGGCGCCCAGGACCTCGCTCTCTCCACGGTCGCTCTGGGCAGCGACAGTTCCATTTCCCAGCGGCTACGAAACAAAAACTTTTCTATTTTTCCGAAGGAAATAAGCGGATCCACAAACCCACCGGCCGGCTCGGCGCCTTGCTCGTGTTTTCCTTTTTTTCCCCTATTTTTTTTTTCCTTGCAAATACCCCAAATAAGGCTTTTATTTTTCAAACAGAGTCTCTGAAAAAGGAAAACCCCTTCCAGGGTTTCTGTTTGCTCAGGAACCCCCGAACAACCGGTAATTTCATTTACTCCGAAGCTTTCATTTTTGCAAGCGCGCAGTCCCCGTGTGAACTTTAGTTTTAAGCCGTACCAAAAATGCGCGATCCCTGCTCGAAGACCGAATGAGTTTTTATTTCGAAACTCACGTTGGTAAAGCCGCCGCTTTAGCTTAATTTTGGCCGAGGCTGAAGTTTGGCCAACATCCTCGCCCCTCCTCGGGTCCTTCATCCCCAAAAGATTGCCGCCCTTGCCCCCGACTGCTTTCAGGTAGGAACCGGCCGCCTGGATCTCTCTCGCACGCGGTGTCGTTCTGGTTTTATTATTGCAGATAAAACAAAAGGTAGAGAGGAGGTTTAAATTGTCAGCGTTATTCAACGAATGAGCTAAAATTACTCCACATGTGAATGGCGTAGCTTGGGAAGCCAGAAGAGGTGAAAGGAATTATCCTTGTTTTCGCTTTAGGTCCTTTAGAAAACTTTCTGGATCATCCAGCGATGCGATCGAGAAATCGCAGGATTTTCTTTCTTTTAACCAGCAACCCCAGCTCTAGACCAGGGAAGTCTGTAAATAGGTTGGAAGCATGGAAAATAATTCTTCACCTTCAGATCTAAATACATAAAAACCATCTGGTTGACCACAATGAAATCATTAGGAACTGTCTACTTAAAGAGTTGTATTGAATGCTTATCCTTCCACACAGGAAATGTGTATGGTAAGTGATTGTTGCAATAAATCCAAACAACTTTGGTCATCTTTGCGTTTGATGATCTTTGTGACTTGGGGGTTTAAGGAGGAGGAAAAGTGTGTGTGTGTGTGGGGGGGTGGGTAAGGGGGAAAGCGCTTCCCGGGCTTTACGGACCGGACCGGACCCAGGACCCCCCTCCCGCCTCCCTTCCCGGGAGCGAACAATTCCAGAGGCGGCAAGAGACGAGCAGCCCCGGCGGGAAGCGGGGCTTCTCCGGGCTGAGCCGAGCCCGGGGCAGGGCCGTACCGAGCCGTGCCCCCCGCCCCGGCCCCGCCAGACACCTGTTTAATTTACTGTTGGGCACAGCGGAGCGGCGGGGCTTGGCGGCCGCGGTGGGCTCCAACCGGGGCTCACCCCTTCTGCTTGTGTTTTATTGGGGTTTATTGAACACCCCCCGACCCGACCCGACCCTACCCGACCCGGGCGGGGGGAGAAGGGCCAGCGGCAGGAGGCGAAGGTGCCAGCCCGGTTGGCCGAGGCGGGCGCTGCCGGAGGGGCCGCTGCCCGGTTCCGGAGCCCCGTGCCGGTGCCCGCCGGAGCGGGGCTTCCCTCGGGGCGACACCGCCCGCTATTTTCATTCGGGTTTCGCCAAGTTGGCAGCGCGGCCGGGGCGCGGCGGCCGGTAGCTCCGGTACCGGCGTATTTTATAATCCCCTATCCGGTAGGGCATTATTTTTTCTTCTCTCCCTTTTTTTTTTCACCCTATTCCCACCCCCCCCCCCCCGCGCTTCCCCCCCTTCAGCCCGACACCGCCTCTCCCTCTCCGCCGGGGGCTTTTTTTCATCCCCTTTTTAATTCTTAAAATTATATATTTATACATATATACATTTGAGGAAGTTTATAGCAAAACAGCAGCGGGAGCGCAGAGCGGGACGAGGGGACAGAGGCCGGGCTGCCCTGCCCGGGGCCGGAGCTCCGGCCGTCCCCGCCGCCGGCTCCTCCGCTCCCCGCTCTCCTGTGTAGTGTTTTGTTTTGTTCATTTCCCCTTACACCGGTTTTCACAGCGGCTGCCCGGGTGTGCGGCTGCACTTGGCGTATTTCGCACGTTGGGGTGTGGGGGGGGAAGGGAAAATAATAACAAAAATTAACTGTTTTTCCTTTGTATCTTAATCCGGTGATGAGAGCTCTCCTTTGTTGGCTTTCGAGCTTGCATTTGTTTTATTTATTATAAGGAAATCCAGTTTGGTTCAAATATATAATCCATTTGAGCACTTAAATCCCCAAACAGCTGGCATTATTTTGTTTTATAATCTTTGGCTTTTCTGCGCAGAGCATATTTCTAAATTCCTACTTGACATTTATGGGGAAAAGAAGTTTTTAATGTAAATGGATATTGTGATTTTTTTTCCTGGATCTTTCCTAATTTACATGCATCACCAATTTTCCTGGATTTCCTACTGTTTTGGTGTTGGATTTTTTTTTTTTTTTTTGCTATAGCTCGTTAATTTTTTTTTTAATTTATTTTTTGAACCCCAAGAAAACTTTGTTTCTGGAGGGTGAAAAAAAAAATGTTAATTTGCCCCATTATTTTAATCTCTGGCATTTGGAAATGGTTGAGAGACCGCAAAAATGCAACCTGTTGTAGAAACCAGAGTGGTGCATTTTATTTATTTTAATCGATAGCAGAGAGGTGATTTAGTAATAGGAACTCTGAGTAAGGTTTTAGTAAGAGCTTTGCAGATCTGGTGGCGGCGTCTGGGGTGTGCATGTGTTTTGCCTGGGTGCCTGTTTCTTTGCTGGCTGATTAACGAGTGGGTTTTACGCTTCTAACCAGTGGTCACTGCTGTTTTCTCCACTTACGGCGTGCTTGTGATGCCTCCTAAATCCAGCTCCCTCATGGCTTCTCCTACTTTTGTCAGACTTTCCTCTTAACTAATTCAGCCCAGTGCTGCGACCGTCGTAAGCAGAGGAGCCACAACTGAGCCAGTGATAACTGATTACAACTTGTTCCTTAGTGAGAGATATTTTTTCCCCCTCGTGGTTCAGCGCTAAAGGCTGTTGATTCAATTTGTCTTGGTTGTGGCGTGTTGAGCCTTGTTCTTAGCAACACACACGATTACACAGGTAATTTGTGTACACCTTAAACAGGGTAGCTCTGAAACCCAATAACTATACAAATTGGGAGCCGTGAAAAAAAAAACAATAGTAATAAAAAAATCAGAGTTTGTTTGCAGCCTGTCCGTCTAACCTTCGTACTTGGTAGACAGTTTATGCACCTTCCTCGATTGATCTCCACCCCCCTTCCCTCTACTCCTTGTTTAGTTAATTCAACAAAGACTTTTTGCAATCTGTTTGGAGTTTGTCTGATGCTGTGGAAAAGTAGCTGCTGATTTATTTGGTTGCTTTTCGATTTCTGTCTCCAGCCCGTCTTTTCTCCTCCTTTCAGCGGGGATGTCAGCTGTTATTACTTCCTATTGATCCCTTTGCAAAGTGAGAAGTGAACTAAAATTAATGTCAATTCCACTGCCCGGATCAATAGCTGGAGTTATTTTAATCTGGATTTGCGCGAGGTGCTAAATTAAAAAAAATCAGCATAGAGGCAGAAAAGTAGCAGTGCCTCCCTCCACCTGTGCCCACCGCCTTCCCGGCCCCCAAATGTTCCCTCCAGCTGATTACCCCGCAATCCATATTTTTTTAATTAAGGAGGTCAGTCAGTTTTCTTATTTTGGGGTTCTGTATTTGAATCTATGACATTTTGACATTGGGAGTGTATTAACGATAGATTTTCATAATGACTGGCCTGCTGCAGTCTAATCTGTCCCTGTTGCTGGGGGTTGGGGAGGTGCTGGGAGCGGGGGAGAACGAAAAAGGAAGTGGGAGCTGAAAAAAAATCAAATTTGGCCGGCTGAGATATTGTAATGTGTTGATTTATTCCTGGTGTAATGAAGTTTGCAAACGAATAAGCGGCTGTAGTGATTCACAGTATCCTACAGGAGTGTCAAGTGTTGCGGGGCCAGATTACTAATTTATGAAATACGTTTAACGTAATGGGGTGATAGCACAAGTAAAAATAGAAAAGGAGGCAGAGGTGGTTGCTGGGTTTTGGTCGTTTTGTTGTTTTTTTTTTCCGCTGGAAATCCATGTTTTCCCATGATTGCTCTGTTGGACTTCCATGCTAATGACTGTTTATTTCTGAGACTGGTGGCTTATCCACATGCATCTCTTTGGACATATAATCTTGAGTGTGTATGTATGTATTTACATGGCTGTGTAAGCCCCCAGCCACCCAGGTTTGCCAGTGGCTGCAGTTTCCTGACCTCCAGTTTTTGATCAGCCTGGCGTGAAGCAGCTGAGCGAGTGTGCCCAGGACTGCAGCACTGACCAGGATGCCCTTGGCATCCCTCTCTCTCCCTCTCCCCCCTCATTCCCCGTGGCAAGAACTCGACGGGAAAGTTATTTAAAATTTGGAAGAGAGCAAATCCGTTAATGCGAGATACATAATCTGGTAATTTAGCAATGATGTCTGTAGGGATGGGTGCCAAATGAGGAAGCGGAGAGATGATGTCCACTCATCTTCACAATTAATAACAGTCGGTGGAGTGGCTGGGTATAGGATGGGAGAGAGGAAATGTTATCACTGAACTGCATTAAAGCCACAGACTGGATTTCATACACTTTGTTAACCTAGGCTCCCTCATTCATGGAGTACAAAAGGCACTCCATTAGGGAGACACTCTTTCACTAAGTTTTATTTGAGATGTTTGACCCTCTGGATTTAAGAGGCACAATTTGCAACAGCTTTTTATTATTATATGATTTTTCTGGCCCTTTGAGCTCCAGCGGCTAGTATATTGTTTCAAAGTTATAGTCCTTGTATTTTAAGCTGGGCTGTGGGGCCTGAATGGCAGGCGGCGGAAGCTTAAAAGAAAAGACATGAGATTGATTGGGGGAGAAAATAACAACACAAAAAGCCGGAGCGAACTGGGGGAGACACAGAAAGGAGCATTTTCCCTTCTCTCACCCTGGGAGGGGGTGGTGGCTGGCTGGGTGGCTGCAGCCAACCCGGGAGGCTCAGCAAGATGCAAGGCAGAAATTTTGTTAACATTTTCCTCTAAATGTTAATGGCGCATCCAGGGCAGTTTACAAATCTACTTAAGAGTGAGTGCATTAGGAAGTAAAATTACTGATCCATTCTCTCTTGTCCCCGACCCGAAAGGGAGATGCTTGCAGAGATCAGATGGCAGAAGCACCCATTATGATTTCAAATACTGTCAGAGTTGCCAGGCATTTTACTGGGGATGTCTCTTCTCCTTTGGCTAGCAGGGACCACATATGCGCATGTGGGTGCTTGTGTATTACACACATGCACTCATATGCAATCACATTCCTACATTCCAACAGTGTGCATATATATATATATATATATATATATACACATAATGATATCAAGTACTGTGTGTGTGCAAGTACCTACCTGCCCATATATACTGTGAGAATGAGAGAAAATACATGTGTCTTAGACATCGTGTACAGTATAACTACTTACGCTGGCTCATGTGGGTAACTATGTGCAACAGATATTTTTATGGTGGTTACACACACACCCCCCGAAGCAAATAGTAGTGTGTGCATGTGTGGGCTTTCTGAAGTTTATTATATGTACATGCCTCCTTTGCCATATAAAATTACAATTATAATTTGGAGTTACTATCTTAATTTTAGACTGAACCTTGTTTATTAGTGGGTTATTAAATCTGTATGTTATTATGGTTGGTTGTGCCTTTCATTCATCTGCACTGGATGATACCCTTTAACCTGGAGGGCCAGAGCTGATTCCAGTAGTGTGTGAAGTTGTCTATTGATTTTCTTGAATGAGAACAGTGGTGCGTCTCCGGCCAGTGGGTTGTAACACATGTGGCCACCCGGCTGCTGGAGCATCCCAGAGAGGGGAGTGCAGAAGCCTAACCGATTGTGTTTTCCTTTCTCTTCTGTTTCCTTGCAGTGTTCGGAGGGCGATGATGCTCCAGTAATTTTCCTCGCTCCATTCCCAGGCATCGCTTTGCTTTCCTTCCAGGGAAGATTGTTCCGCTTGTAATCCTGCTGACAAAAGAGACTCCGATGGACTTACACCGGGCCGCGTTCAAGATGGAGAACTCACCCTATCTCCCCAACCCACTGGCCTCCCCGGCGCTGATGGTTCTCGCCTCCACTGCTGAAGCCAGCCGTGATGCTTCCATTCCCTGCCAGCAGCCGAGGCCTTTTGGGGTCCCCGTGTCAGCAGATAAGGACGTGCACATTCCCTTTACCAATGGCTCATATACTTTTGCCTCCATGTATCACCGGCAAGGCGGGGTGCCGGGAGCGTTTGCAAACCGTGACTTTCCTCCGTCCTTGCTTCACCTCCACCCCCAGTTCGCACCCCCTAACCTGGACTGCACCCCGATCAGTATGTTGAACCACAGCGGTGTTGGGGCTTTCCGCCCCTTTGCATCTACTGAGGACCGGGAGAGCTATCAGTCAGCTTTTACACCGGCCAAGCGCCTGAAGAACTGCCATGACACTGACTCACCCCATCTGCGCTTCTCCGACACCGATGGGAAGGAGTATGAGTTTGGCACGCAGCTCCCCTCCAGCTCCCCCGGCTCCCTCAAAGTTGATGATACGGGGAAGAAGATCTTTGCCGTTTCTGGCCTCATTTCTGACCGGGAGACCTCATCCAGTCCCGAAGACCGAAGTGACAGATGTAAGTACCTTCATTGACTTGTTGGTTCTTCTTTAGTTGCACCTTGTTGAGATACTCAACAGGTGATTGTCCCGCAGTGCTGTGGTTCTTGCTGAAGGCAGAGGAAAACCAGCCTTTCCTGCCTGCCAAGCTCAGCCACACGGTGTTGCCTTGTCTGTTGTAAATGGACATTGGTAGATTTTAAGGTGAGGTGCTCTTGAAGGAAACTCGTCTTCCAGCACACAGCTGGAGAGGCAATGTTGACCGTGCAGAAAGCTGTCTGAGCCCCGAGTGTGAGGCTATAGATGCTGGTACATACATGTGTGTAAACAGGGATGCAGCTGGAGTGTGTAGCCAGAAACTTTCCCAGAGCTTGCAGGAAACATGTACCCCTTGCTTCCTCAGGTATTTCTTTCTGACCTTTTCTTCATGCACACCATTCTTTACAGCAAATGCATCACCTTCAGGATTTGTGCCTCAGGTTAAGATAAAAGTACCTTTTCCTCTGGTTATCGTAAGAGTATTTCTGGCTGCCAAGCTCCCTCTTCGAGACATAAACCTGGATCCATCCTTACAATTCAGTAAGCTGCGGCACCATGTGCTTTCTCGGAGTGTTTCCTCCTTTGGTGCTTGTTGAAAGGTGATGTGCTCTTTCGCACGGTGGTTGGACTGAAGGAAATCAGTCTGCATGTTCACAACTGTAACTCCCCATCACCTTGTCCCTTGTGCTGTTGCCTATGCAGGGGGGGCAGAGCTGTCCTTCAGGAAGGACAGGCTTCCAGATTTGCTGTGCTGGGAGGTGACCCATGACGGGGAGTGGTCTAGGGGCAGTGGAGCGTGGTACCCTGAAGAAGAGCACTGACTTATGATTAGAGTTTTCCTGTAAACCCAGACATGTAGACCGAGAAGCAAGTGGTTTGCTTTTCACATGGGCTCCTTTGTTCTGTTGAGTTTTCTATCTAGAAAACAATTTTATTATTATTGTTATTATTATTACTATTTTTTCCCCAGCAAAAACCTGCTGCACTGTTCCTTCCTCTCCCTTTCAGACGTGATTTTTCTTCTCCCCTTTATGATGCCGAAGAGAGTAATAGAGACATTGTGGCTCTCTCTCCCCTGTCGGCGCTGCTTCCTCAGGCTGTCTCCTTGAATTAGGCACTGTGCTAACTTACCGGCGCTAAAAGGCATCTGCCTAAACCCAGCGTACCTTTTCAATAAAAGTCATCATAAAATCAACCTGCCTTGTAAATCCATCGCTCTTTGGTTTTGAAATATGCTGCTTGTCTTTTATGTCAGCATTTGTGAGGGTAAGACGATTCCCACTGAAGGCAGAAGCTGTGTATTCCTTGCACTATGAATGCGAACTGTTATCTTTCCCCGCTCTCCTTCTGATCCACCCCTGGCTGTGCTACTTTTTGTGCCGTAAGCTTCTTTCATTGTTCAGCATCCCCTCTCCCTCCTTTTGGGTCCATAGGGACTTGGCTGTAGGTGGGAGCACGTGTGGATGTGTGTGTGTATAAGCTGGCAATATAATTATCCTGGGGGGAGGCAGGTGAGATGGCAAGGCTTAGAGACATCTTTGTCGATGCTCTTTCCCTTATCGATATAACCTGGCTGTGGAAATGAAGCCTGCTTGAAAGAATACTCTGGGAGATAGCGGTGGAGGAGTGGGTCCACTAGCTAAATTAATTTAGAGCGCATCAGCTGCTATGGATCTTGCTAGCAAAATCCTGTCAGATACCCCATTTAAAGAAGTAAATCTGTTAAATGAATTAGACCACATGGAGCGCAGCTGCAGATGGACAGACATATCCACATCCACATCCACCGCTGTGCCTTTCCTTTGCCAACTGTATGTGCTGAACGTGGGTCGTCTTCTTGGGAGCAGACGGGGCTCTGCGCAGGAGCATGCAAGAGGCAGCACGGTGACACTGGCTCCCTGTGCCGCCACCAGCCCTATGGCACGGCACTTCATGGGGAGGGGAAGCGGAATAAAACTTTGCAGGCAGCATGGGGAAACTGGGGCAAAAATGGGAGGTGTTTTGTTTTATTGTTTTCTTTCCCGTATGGTTAAATTTCTTTGAGATGCTTTGCTGCACGGTAGGAGCCGGGCAAATACAACGTCCCCGATATTTCATCCACATTAAAATTCTTCCGTAACTACCAGGACAGTGTACACTGAATATGTCTGTTGGCTCTGTATCATATTCCCATCACATACAGACACTGCACCATGGAAACTTCGCTCCATTAACACGGCGAGTTTATTTGGTGTGTGCATACGCACGTATGGGTGTGTTTGCTAGAGGCCGGGAAAGCGAGCAGCAGAGCGTTTTAGAGGGATCCTAATGATCTTTGATGTTGACCATCAGAAAAGGAAAACTTCCGCAATGAGGAATTTTGAGAGATCACGAGATGTGATCGTGATCCTGTTTTGCATTGACGTTTGCTTGTGTGTTTTTGGAGTTTCCATATAAATGCATACTCCGGGGGGAGAAGGGGTTGTTGTTGCCTCTGAGAAGTTTGGTGGATTCCTAGTATAATTGTTACGTATAACCCTATGTAAAATGCATTTACTTGTGCTCCTGATGGAGAATTTGTTGCAGGTAGGTGGCTGTAGCTTCTAGGCAAAAATGCAATGAGGTTTTTCTACAACTGAGAGCAAAAATGGTGAAACTGCCTTAGATCAGCAACACCTTTACACGTCTCACAGGTGCTGCTCAGATATGTAGGGCTCCATCATTCAGTTGTATTTTTCAGATTCCTGAAAGGGTTTGTATGACACGGAAGGCGAATTACTGTGATTGCTCTGCGTATTCTGTACCACTGCGCAAGAACCTGTTGTGAATAGCTCATTAAAACATCTGTTTTACCCCATAGCTTAAAGGGTGATTTTCTAAGGAATTTGCCTTTTTCTTAAGAAAAAAAAAGGAATTCAATGAGCTGAGTTTTAATTTTCCTGAAGAATATGATTACACTTGAGATACTTCGCAGCAAAAGAAGAATCCAAAGTCAGGCATTTTCATTTCAGGGAATGTTTGGAAGGTGCTGTATTTAGTCCTCTGCATTGTGGGAGCAAAATCTCAGCCTGTTTTCCCATGAAGGGAGAGCACCATTTCTGGGGTGCAGCTGTGTGGGATGATGCTTCTTGTCACTCAGCAAATTGGGCTGAGATGTCTGCATTGGGGTGAGCTGTCCCTTGCTGTAAAGTGCAGACAGTCAGGACATCCAGCGCGGTGGAGTGTACAGGGACCATGTAGAAAAGCTGAGCCTTTCCAGGAAGCAGCAGACATGCCATGTACTGGATGGGCCCATTCCTTCAGATGCTTACGGAGAAAAATAATGCCATTTGTTAGAGTTCAGGGCTTCTTGTAAAGCATGTGTTAAAGACACCAGGAGACGTATTTTATGGGTTTCCTTTAATAAGCATGCAATAGTTGAGATTCCTAGAAGGACTGGAAATAAATGGCATGTTTCTTTCTGCAGAAGAGACCTATACACCTGTTTTAAAATCAGAGAACATATGAAAGATCCCTGGGTTTACTCTTTCCTTCTAATAAAATCTGTCCCAGTCTAATAAAATATTGTACCCAGTCACCACAGCATCGTTTTCCCACAAAGTGACAGGCAGAGGTCCATGCCAAAGATGGGATCTCTTGGTGAAGAGCTGGATCTTGTCCAGTGGACACCCTTACTCTTCCCGCAAGGCTGCCCATGCCCCCAGTCCCCCTGTGCCGACAGAAGATGGTTTCCTATTGCTGTGTGCTGCTTGGTCTTCATCATGTGTTGTCTGTGACTTCTTGGGGAGCACAGCCTGACGTGTGAAGGTGACCCTCTACATCCTGGTTGCTGGTTCAGTTTCCATCCTCTGGGCAGAGCCTGGCTCTTCTAGCTTCAGTTCCCCTGCTACCATTGGCAGCTCTCACCCTGCTCCTGGTGTGTCCTGGGGATGAGCAACTGAGCTGGGGAGCAGGCTGGGATCCCCGCTCATCCCTTAGGACTGGTGCATAAAGTGGGGGTGGTTCTATTAACATTACTTTGATTATTATTTTTGATAATCATATTTAACCTTGGTTATCTGGACACGGACAGCTTGTGCTGCAATGGGTTTTCTCTCTGCAAGAGAGCTCTTTGTTCCACTGTAGGGCTTTAAAAAACACCTCTAGCACAGAGTTAGTTTTCCTTTTGAAATAACTGCTTCATTATTGATTGAATGTAAATCACACTTCAGGTGATGAACATCAGGGCTATGATGACCACAGCTTGAAAGCCTGAATAACGTAGCGCTTTGGAAATCAGGCTGAGAACTGTCTGTACAGTCATCCACCACTCAGATAAGTGTGTTTGTTGGGCTTTGTGTTTATGGGCTGGGACTTGTGTAGAGAGCTGTGTCTGTCTGTATGCCTATGTGCTGGGAGGGGAAAAGGGTTTTTTTCCTTATATTTTGTGTCAGAACAATGGGTTGGAGGGGAACGCGCACATGCACAAATCCATATGTGCGCACATCCATCACTCTATGCCTCTTCCCACTGGGATGCACCACTTCCAAGCCTGGTAAAATCTGGGTGTAAAGCAAAGTGATGCTTTGTTGCTAATAATAATCAGCTGCGACCATGGGAAATCGCAAGCTTAACACTGCTTGTGAAATAATGAAATAAATCGAGTGGAATGTTTGCTTTCCATCGTCAGTGCCCTGTGTGATGTAGGAGGAGAGAAGGAGCAACAGTAGATTTTGGGAAGGCGTTGGCAGGCAGATAGACAGTAATAGGCATGAGGGTCGTGCATCCATCCCCGTTGCACCACTGAAACCACGCCATCCTCATGGAGCTAGGTGCGCTGCCTGGAGGGAGGTCCTGGAGCAGGCAGCAGCCACCTCCTTTTTCTGCTTTTCTGTCAACAACCTTCCCGCTCCCCCTGCAAACTGTTGCCGAGACTCCTTTCTGTGCTGTTTGGCTTAATTGTCTTGTCGGGATAAAGAAATGTTTGAACAGTTAAAGTGGGGAAGGGCTGGATGGGAGCAG